AAGGCGATAGTTTTCGAAGGTCTGTTGCAAGCAGTATGGGATTTCTTTGTCATGCTTCTTTTTGCGAAACTCGTTCGTTAGGTTCACAGCGTACTGTATAACAGAATAACGCAATAATAATCGAAGACCACATGTATTACGATTCACACACGCTGGAGATCTGAATCATATGGATAGAAAACTGTATGCTTAGAATGGAGTCAAGTTTTGCATAAGTTAAACTTAACTTATATGTATCTGCAGCCGAATGCAGATTTACCTCGCCTTATGACTCGATATTGCATTAAGAGGTTGGTGACGTCTGCAGTGATTCAGTCCACGATGAGAAGTAGGTTGCGAAATTGCGCATAGCCAAGGAAGCAAGCTGTCGTAATATATCACCCATTTGAAAAAGCTTCCAAACAGTATTGTACCTGTGCCAGCAACTACTCCATACATTCGCTTAACGAAGACCATTTCTTTGAGACAGCTCGAAGTCACATCAATGGAGGTATGCTTTCACTGTAGACGGTTGACTCACTGAGTCTGTAACAGCAGCGTCATCCTGAATACCTTTAATTCACGATATCCGTTGTATTAACAGCTTTACAACGCTTCGTGTTACACGCCTGTTTCAGCGTCGAGAAGGTAGTGTTCATTTCCTAAACCAGACCTGCCCATGTCCTATTCTTTCATGTTGCATATTGAAACACGCACCCCTTGCTGCTCCAAATATTGTCTAGAAGTCACATAATCACTGGAAAGGATAAAGGCTTGACATTGAAACTTGTACGATTTCCAATGATCATAATTCACTGAACATTTTTTGTACTTAAAGATTACCATTTTCTGATCTCGATGCATATCCGTTTATCTCTGTCGATTTTTCGACTTCAACATCCGTGTATTAGTTTTTACTCATCCCTCTTTGTGAACAGCAGAAATTATTCAATTAGGTACTTGTACATGCTACCTATATATTCGCTATTTCTGTCCGTCGTGGTATAACTCTCTTATGTTTCAAGGATGCTCGAGGTAAAATCAGATTCGAACATTACTGAACAGTCGGAGGATAACTTCTTCACCGTTGATGGATGAAGTACAGTTTATATAGTGATTAAGGCCAAGAAAAGTTTACCACGCAGTACAGAGCTTCAGAATTCTCGCTGCAAAACTTCTGCGGCAGCCTAACTGATGTCCAGAAAGCGTGGACTTATTTTCTTCCAAATGGGAACATTCAGTTAATAAGTTGCTTGTCGTATCTCTTTATTATTGCGAGACGGAAGAAGGCTGTTGAAGCTAATCTGTTTTCCGTCCATTGTCTTTGTATTCTACCGTTGTCCAACTCGAGCTGCAAGAGAGGACTGGGGAGGGGGCAGTTTTGTTGGTGTAATGCAGTTTCTCCGATCTCGACTAATGAATTTTCCTGATGTCCACGATTGCCAACGTAAACGACAGAAATTGCCCAAATCTTGGACTGTCTTTGATGCTATCATTAATCTGCTGCATTTATTATTTCTTGTTGAATAATCACTGGCCGTGTGTTCCTGCAGTAGTTGCTTTTCTTTACTCGTATCTGTCATTATTTTTTATTTAAAAAAATTCATTGATTCATTTGAGTATTTCTTTTGTTCGCACTTTCATTCACAAATTTATTCACTTTTCATTTTTAGTTTCATTCGTGCGTTCGTTGGTTTATCTCTCCGTTGTTCGGAGAGTAGGTGCTGTATTAAGGCCGCCAACATACCGTATTTTTCAGCAGTTGTTTTCGACATATTTCTTTATATACTTGAGAGTATGCATTAGCTTGCATCATTTTCTTCTAGGTGAAGACTTTCTCTCTAACTTGTGGCTCTTTGTTCATGCCCGTACTGTGTCAATCGACCTGCACAAAATTAAGACCATTTATACAGAGGTTGTGCGGTTGGTAGAGCATCGGACTCTGAATGAGAAGCCACTGGTTCGAGCCTCAGACTGATCACTCACCTTTCCTAATTTCGTTGCTTATGAATGACCAGCACTTATTGAGAAAAAAACGGCACTGAAGTATGTCCCCACATTGTCAGAGATTGTTTCATCACGCAAGAAGTAGAAAGACGGCTATCATCTACTTCTTCATCTTCCATCGCCGCTTCTCCTTTCGGGTCGTGGAGGCAGACGCGTCAAACAGTGCTTCTAACGTTCCCGATCCTGTGCCAGAGTCTGAGCTTCGGCAAAAGACAAATGCAG